GATTGTGAGAGGTTTTTTTATTATGTTTGAGGCGTAGTCTTGCAAACGGAACGGGCTTAATCCATTTTTGCATGGTTGCTTGCAAACTGCAAAAGGGATTTACGAAGTTCCATTTTCTAGGCAAGCATTTGCAACTTCTTAAAATTTTCAGATAATCATAAATGGTTGGTCTGGGCTCAGATTTGATCCAATATGCCAGGGAGCGCTTTAGAACTTCTAAACTTGATGAGTGTATTATGTCACAACATCCTACCTCAACCTAATCGCGAAGTTTCCCCGACTGACTAGTACAACATTTAAGACTTGGAGTATTCTACCTCAGTATCTGCATTCTTGATAGCAAATACCGCTTCAAACGAACTTGACTAATAAACTCACATTGGTTAGTACTCCATTTTCTGCATCATTGATTTCCCTATCAAATGATACGTTTCCTTGATTTAAGAATTTATACTGGTCCGCTGTTTTTGTCAGCAAAAGCTCATGACGCATTTCTTTTGAAAATGCATTCGACAATAGTTGATAGAACACATGGAAATTCCTGTTTCCTCGATTTTGACTGACAACACGAGATTTTTCGAGGAGATCTGAAAGTTTCTACCATAAATTACGTGATCACAGTCATTAAAGGCTAATAGCGAAAAAAATCACTTACAGCATTCGATCTGAGCAGATTGCAACCTTCCTTGTTCATCAAATTCAATTCTGATAAACTTACCCTACAAAAAAGATTTTTTATATGCAGGACACAAGCTGTGTAGTCTCAAAACACCCACAAATCGCGAACTGTTGTTGTTGTGTGTAGTTCTCGCATTTCCAAACGCTTCTAACAGAACACCAGACGAGACAACATCGCTTCCCACCAAACTTTCGTTCTTCACAAGCCCATTCGAAAATCCATTGCTTAAGTGTTGCTGCTTCGAACTACTTGGTGCACAACCACAGCATTCTAGCACATATTCGATTATTCTCTTTGTGTTCTCGGTTTTGCCTGCGCCTGATTCCCCTCTGGAAGAAAAAAGCTTTTCCTAAGACTGAGAAATGTTTGTGGTTTGGAAACTTACGTGATAAGAATGGATTGATTGCGACCACCTGAAAAGATTTGGATTAGCTTTAGTGAGTCGGAAAACTGTTCTCACAAGAGCTTCTTGCAAGATATTGGTGGGCGGGTAAGTTCGTACCGTTTTTAACAGAGTCAAAAATTTCCAAAAAAACCTAAAGCTTTGACACTTAT